AATAAGTTGTAGAATTTAAAAAGAAAAAGAAAAAAAATAATTTTATTGAAATCCCCAAACCCATGTAACCCCCTTAAGGAAACGTTCAAGATTTTCTATATACTTCAATCAAAGCACGAAATGAAATCGTATTTCAACTACTCGCATTCTCTCTGATTTTCTTTCTTTCCTACTACTTTTCATGCTTACTTTCTTATACTTTCTTCATTTCTACTTTCATTTCTCTATCTTCCAGGTTGCAGAAGAGAAATGCAAGAAACATTTTCACTCGTCCAGTCACGTAATTAACGTACTTACGCCGAAAAGTAATTAGACTGTTCGTTGTGCGACTCGTTGAAAGTGAGAACTAAGGGGGGGGGGAGAAGGGTATGGGGGTAAGGGTCGAGTTTGAAGGAATTAGTGGCCGAGAAATGCACCACTATCGTCTAACGGAATTCCTGCACACACATAACTATAAACGAAGTTTTAAATTAGCTATTTTAGAGTAGTTTTACTTGTAGGATTAAATCCTTTCTATAATTATTATTATTAAATATTATTTTGAGAGAATCTGTAATACAAGGAATGAAATTGTAATAGAGGTTATGGTTATGGTGGAAGATAATAAGGGCTATCATAAATTACTTTAGTCATTATGATGATAAAATAAATATCGAGTAATCGATAGGATCGTTCTAATACATAATACTTGAATATATAATACATATTTACTATACTTGTATATTGTGTATATTCTACACACATTATCTTAAACGAGAGAAGATTACAGAATTATTTTTACTTCGAACATATTTTGAGCTGTTCACAGAACTCATTTCGAGAATTGACAAAAATTTTATCGTATGAATTGTTTTCCATTGTTTGATTGAATTTTTATAATCAATTTACTTTATCTTTCACTTCGCGAAGTTAATTATATTTGGAAAATTTGTAAAACGATACACGATAATGTATTATTTGAATGAATTTTTATAATGAATTTTCTAGATTTTTGTTTTTGTTTCATGAGGTTAATTAATTTGGTTTCCAATCAAATTTAACGATACCACCTTCTATTACCAACCTCGAAACACTCAACTTCTATTACATCGTATATCGAAATGTTCGCAAATCCATATACTTCCTCTGGCAATTAAGCGAAACCTCGAGAAGACTCTCACTAGTTCTCTCTCTCTCTCTTTCTCTCTCTCTCTCTCTCTCTCAACGTTTCTACCAATTATTCTCAAAATTTCTCGTTTTCCAACTTAGAGAAATCGAATACCGTGTGCAAATCGAGAAACAAATTATCCTAGCAAGTTTATCATCCTACAACAACTTATGTTCCACCTATAATTTCTCGTACAACCGATATATACTACGAAATATCCTATTTCCGATCAAATCTCGCGTTATGAACGATATTTATTGACACCACGATCTAAAATCTACTCGATTGCAGAAATTTCTTTCAATGATCTCTTACTTTTTGTT